GAATAATACATATAATTGCTTGGTGCATGAAATAGAAAGAATCTTTAAAGGATCCAAGTGGCAGTAGAGTTCGTAAACAAGTATTTTAATTGATGTGTGACTACGTAATATCGACAAACGAAATACTCTCAGATTATGGAAGCATTAATTACTGACAGTATCATGATTAATGGTCGCTTATGACCATGCTCGTCCAGCAAGCTACTCTCAGGATAATATTAATTTATATCACATTCCCAAGCAAATCCTCCAATAATGTGCAAGTATAAAATTATGATGTTTATTAACTGTTCGTCGTATTACAAGAAATTTAACAATAGCGTTAATTTTCAAACCCTTCGTGGTGAATGTCCATTTGCAGTTTAATGTTGCGATAACATAATCAAATAATCTAATGTTTTACAATCTCTCATAATACTAAGGCAGCAATATTGAGATTTGAAAGTGTCTATTTCTTCTTGTCTCTCGTTTGTGTGTGTGTGTATGTGTGTATATATATATAATATATATGTATGTGTGTTTATAGATAAAAATAAATGTACTGTTCTATAATACATAGCTATTTAAACATATGAAATGATCTTAATACGTTGTACAAAGTTATATAGAGAATCCCTGTTGTATAGATACAGGATGTTCCAAGAAATATTAATCAAACAATACTCGATTCTTAAATCGTACAAATTTATAACGCTAAAATTGATATTCAAATTATGTACACATAAAATTTATTAATTAAACAAACGATGATGATACAAAACGTTTACATTCAAATCAATATGATCGGCACAAATATTGTCGAAGATAACAACAAGCGTAGGTACACCTTCCGTTACGAAGATATCAGACAGATTCACAAACGTGAATTAAATACACTGAAATGCCACTGGTAGTTAGACGTTGAGAATTTGATATTTGTCCGGGAACAAACACAAGGACTTGAATGTTAGAGAAAATAAAATACGCGATCCACCGTAGACATAAAATAACGATTAAATATTTCTTGACCATCCTATATACACTCAAGAGAGGATTTGCAGAAGATGGTATATATTACTGATACTTTACTTACATTTTGTCATCATTAAAAGGGCGACAGTTTCCCTCCTTATTTAAGATATCATCCCCGCGAATCGGTTCCACTGATTGCGACCATTTTCCCTCCCTCCCAGCACTACTTATACGACACATTGTATAATGTTAATAATAGCAACGTAGTTAGTAACAAAACTAATCACGCCCTGCATTAATTAAGAAGTTATCAACGACATTTCGTTCGAAACTACATCCCACGTTCGCTGCACGCGCGGTCACCGTGCAACGACTGCAACGTTCAAATAATGATTCTACTTCAGACACGTCCCGAGTACTTTACTGCCACCTAGGGAAGCTACGAAATGTACATTTATTTAACAAGAAACGAAAATGTTTTGGAAGTAAGTCTAGATAGATACCATGAGCCGGTTTATCTAAAGACGAGACAAGAAATGAAAGTTTTCGTCGTCGTCGTTGTCGTGAATCACAACTGTGCAAAGGGTTATACTTTCGTTCAGCTAGTAAAGAAATGTGGCACTTCTCGTCCGAACGTTGGCCACCGATCACCGATCTGTGAAACATAACTGCGAGTCTATGTGCCGACACGGTAGACACTGAGAAGATATGGGACAAAATTTTTCATGGCACCACCCCCCGCGCACGCGAATCTATCTCCCATTCACACGTTTTAAGTTCCGTTAGATTTCCACATCTTTTCCTTTGTAATATTTAAATATGAACAGTCATAATTCAGCTATCAAATGTATTAAATAACAATAATGGAAACGACTAATATTCTAAGATCTGCTTTACACAGTCGGGTCGGTTATCAAGGTATTTGGTCTGAATCGTGTATGCTCGTTTTACCAATGATTGCAGCTATTCCATTTACTCGGTTTGCAACTAAAATTCATGCAAAATTGACAGTCCCGAGTACGCGTACAGTTTCACGTGAGTACTCAGTATTCGCTTTATACACTTTGCAGGTTCCTCCTTTTCCCTTCAAGGGCTGTTACTTAGTGAATGCGGCAAATACTGCCCAGAGGACTGGATTGGCATTGGGTTTAGTGGCTTCCGCCTCGAAATCGAGATCCAGTAACGTCCGTACTCGCCGCATCGCTACCTCGTAATCGTCGTCGCAAAGCGGCGCAAATGCGTTTTCTAACACGTCGGCTGCGTGAGCTAAGATAACTAAAGCTAGCGTTCGCCTGTCCATCCGGCCAGCATCGTTAACCCAGCGGCTTAACACAGCTTCTTGAATCTGTCATATGAAAAATCAATTTTTCATCTATGCCTAACAAGTAAGTGAGCACTAAAAGTATCTACCTTTTTAACAAGACGACTTTTGGCAAGGTTATCAGTAAGGGGATGAGTAGTCATATCAAACAGTAAGAAATTCTGTTTTTCTGTTGTTAAAACACCTTTCTCAACAAGATTCTTGGCTAATCTCTCTCTGACATTTCTCAATTGGTACCTCATCTTTAGTGGATTCCATGTTTCCCCTAAACCCAAACAAACGTGTGAAGAACATCATGACCAAACAAACAGAAACATGTTCGTGAGGAACAAACACGAAACAAACCACTGAGATATTCGATCCAACTGGGGACAGTCTCCGGAGGATCTGTTTCCTTTATGTGTTTCAATGCTTCGTCCAACAGAACATCTCCCGTGGGTGCATCGTTCTTCAGCAAAAGCTTCCTCACCAGTAGACCCTTCTTACGCATACCAGCTTTCTCTAACTCGACGCGACCTCGGAATCCGAGTTCTGCCAAGATACAACCGCGCAAACCGGAACTTATACAATCGTTCCAAAACGACGTGTAACCCTACAAAAAAACATAAAGCCTTAGTCCCAAAAACCGGGATTTCCTCTTTGACAAAGGGAGGACGTCGAAAGCGCACGGTGAAGGGTCCGAGGGTCAGTGTCAACAAACCTCCTTGTCTTTAAGACCGAGTAACAGAACTTCCTCCATCAACGTCAGTCTAGTTTCCTTATCAGAATCGTCATCGATCGTAGGATTCGAGTTGAGGTCTTTCTGCATGGTATCTGTGTCCACGCCATGACCGGACAGTTTATCGTTTGTAGTATCATTGGAACCGTCCTGGCCGAGGCTACTGCCGCTGCTGCTGTTAACCACGCGTCTTCGTTGCACCAATCCGTCACCGCGATTCATCCTTCAACGACGAATCTGAGCCTGCTTCCTCTCGCGATTACGTCCGCGTGTCAAATACGCCACTGTGTCGCCTTTTACTTCGGATATGATTAAGGCGTATGGTCGACCGTGGCGTTAAAGCAAGCTGACGGCATGCATCGAACAGTGCACACTATATTGTTGACGTTTCAAACGGTACGACATATCTTTCCAAGATGGCCAATTTCCACAGACGTCGTTATTTTGTTCCGCTACTTGGCTTTATATATCGCTTACGCGCAATTAGTACCACAGACAACACTAATCTCGATGACGAACGAACCACCGTAGTTCGTTGCTTCGTCTGTACGTTTACCTCGGCGCTAATGTTTTCGGCAGAAAAACTTATCACTCCATACACTGAATCTCAAGGCCCTCTCGATTCGACACGCTCGACACCCCGAGAGTCTGAGTCTGAGTCTGAGTCTGAGCTTGGAACACAGATATCGTCCTCTGCGGTTAGAATTACTTAGAACGCCCACTCGAGTCACAATGCTGAGTGCTCGTTTTCTGCTGTCGGTAATTTTACTGTGGCGCCTATCATTTCTCTGAGCCGCGCGAAGCGTTCAAAACCGAGTAGCGAACAAGAAGAATTTATTTCGAATAGAAATACAGCAAGAAATAGAATTTTACAATAAGGAAAATGTAAAGCAAGCAGGGGATCTCATATATTAACACTATTGAAGTAAATTGATAATGAATCCTCAATTCAATGAAATAACATCAGTAAATATCATCCACAATCGAATCTACTTACAGAACTACTAAGGAAATTATTAATACACGTTGCAATGTGCAGTGTACAGTAGCCTAGAACTGGTGCTTTATTTCCAACAATAATTAAACCATGAACTCAATTTTTTTAACAACGAAACAACTGGATAATGCACTAAATAATAACTGGATAAGATACAGTCTAATTGTAACAGATGTAATTATGTATTCTAGTATATTATCATATAAGCCTTACCTGATGTTTGATTGTCCTCGTAGAAAACTGTTCTACTGTGAGGTAGACTAATATCCTATCAAGTTAATTATAAATACGGTCGCCGTATTTTTGGGAGCGCAAACGGGGACAATAAAGGCATGTAGTACCAACACGCTAACAGTTTTAAACATGTTCGTAAATCGGGACATTTTAAATTGTAAGTACACTTTATAAAATCTATATTTCCAATAATGTTTGATTTTTTATTCTGACTTGACAAGAATTAAAATTATTCAATTAACTTAATTGGAGGAAATTCGAATTAATGATTGAATTTCAATCCTTAATTAATACTTCAATTGTCAATTGAGATTTAGAAGGATTTAATTATTAATTGTTAATGCAGCAATTAAAGGATCTACAACCTTGTATTCGTCTATATTTGTATTAATTATTATTTCAATCACTATATTAAATATTATATCAATCTTCAGATGGATCATTGCTATAACGATTGATACTAAATATTGATATATCGATTAGTATATGAATTGTATCAGGCATTGTATGAAGCGTTGCATTAAATTTTGTTTCCATCCTTTTAAGGATTTCGTGATGGATACTGAGAGGCTGAGAGTTTATTGCGATTCAAGATGCATTACGGGAGAAAAATATGCGTGGCACCCCTCGGTCTTGTAAAGTTGCATACGGCGCCGGTAATGCCGGACACGCGGTAACGATCAATTTTTATTGCTCGCGAACACAATGGAGCGAAACGAAAATTACAGCCCGGTCGCCGAGGTTCGCTCCGCCATCGTTTCGCGGCGAAACATTAACTTTTACAGTTAAACCGCGCACGTGTCCTCGAAAGTACCAATAAAATGACAATACCCGTCCATTGGACGATGCACGCGTTCACTAGATGACACGTAACATTTTGCGAGCGTGACATTTTATAAAAATGATCGTCTATAATGTTCGACGCTTAATACTTTTCGTTTTCAAACGAATAGAAGTGTACGGTTGCCACTTGAGGGGAATTGTGGAACGGTTTTTATTCAAGGTGAGAGTAATCATCGTTTTATCGGGGTTAGTGACACGGTGTACACTGATATTGAGCTTAATGATCATTTCCTGGTACTCAATGTCAACTGTTCAACGTCAGTGCCTACATTTGCATGGGTTATAGATAGAAAAGCTGTCAGCGCAAGGGCGTACAAACGTAGAGACAAGATAAGCAAGAATACATTTTGTCCGTTTAACTACATAGAATCATAAAAAAGAAAATAGAAATAGATTTAACGTCCAACTTGAGAAACAAGTTTATTTATCCTGAATAATCAGAAGTTACTTTGAAAATGTTTAGAATAATTTTGTACGAGAGTCCAAATGTCGCGTTCTTAACGTAACTCGAGGATTGAAATGTCACGGATTTTTTCTCACGCGCCTTTCTCGTGTGAATAAGGATAATTCCCCTGCATCGTCCAATGTCAATTCCACGCTTATAAATCGGTGCACGGGTTTAATCCCCACGATGACATGTTAGGGAAGTTGCATTCCAGTGAATCACAGAAGTATAACTATCGGAAGTGGTTGACATTGACGAAGTACGTGAATATGTATCTATCACAGTTGATCGAATCAAATTTGTCATTGCGATACACCTGTGACCTGAATATAATTCTATATTATAAATAAAATACTTCGAGATAGAATAATAGAAAGATAAAATAGAATTCGAGATAGATAAAATAGAATTCTTAGAGATAAAAGTTATCAGAGCTCATTAAGTACAGGAAAAAAACCTGCGAACACGGGAAGTACAAAACTAATAAAATGAAACGATCGAACGAGTTTCGAAGCTCACATTACGTGGAATTGAATGCACGTAGACGATGGATTACTGTAAAATTTCGTTTTACAACAGAGAGAAAGGCCGATACCCGGTTATAGGAGAGGGAGAGAAAGAGAAAGAGAAGGTAGGAATCGAGGCTGTTGGTGAAGGCGCAACGAGAGGCACGTTCAGTCGCCCGGACCCGCTCGGTCGGTCTGAACAGACGTGCAATACTTCTAATCGTATTCCTCGCAACCGGTTGCTCTGTCAGGTCTCCCCGTACCGCGAAACTTCCCTCCCAATTGTGCGAGAAAACTATCATCAAAAGGATACTCTGTTATCAGCAGGACCGACGATGACTCACTGGGACCAGTGTTAAACCCGTTCACCTTTCACGAGGACATATCAGGTAAGTTAAATTAACTAATTTTACTTATCAATATAATAAGTCTGTTCCAATAAATTGAAAAACGGAATATTAATCGAAGATAACGATTCCGATCGAATTAAGAGTACCTGTTTACTCTGATATTACAAATGCTACGCTTAGCGATAACGATAACAGGATTCGAGTTATTTGAATTGGCACAGATGTTAAAACGTTTTGCCGTTTGACATTTACCGGCATAATTCTTAACGAATTGAATTTTGCTCGACTGAATATTCATACGGCATTGTTCCGCAATTAATCCGGTTATCAGTAATCGGATCGTTTAGAGCTAATCACCGGCTCGTTATCATGCATGGGAATATTCATTATTTCGTTGACGCGTATCGATTCGATTAACCGAGTGTATTGTTACCGCACGCACGTGTTAAAATTCAACTCGTTGGAATTTCATTCTCGCGCTTCGTCTGTGAATTTCTCCGTGCCCGTCGGAGGCGAGCCTTCTCACAAAAGGGAAACCATGGGAAGGATCGCGTAATCATATTATTCATAATTGACGAGAACGCTTTACGACGCTTCGAAGACGCCACTTTAACTATGTGAACGACGTATTACCGCGGCCGCACCATTTCGGAGAGGAATCGGCTTGCAGCTGATTTTCAGGAAGCCTCTTGCGTTAGCCTGATTTCTCATTTACTCTTAAACATTCCCTCGCTGTTATCTAAAGTATAAATATGAAGTCCCGTGCAAAACAGTTTGCATGGTAAACCGTCGCACCGAGTGCTAAACAATTACGTTGCGGTTCTCTTGCAATGAATAATTCGTCGGGTTTGCGCAACTGACGCGATGAATGATAAAGTTACGGTACCATCGTACATAATTATTCGCGCTCGTTATTTTTAGTCTTTTCATTATTTCGCTTAGAAACTAATATAATACTTTTTTTATTTGAGAACTTTACATTTGAAAACAGAAGATTAAGACGTTTAATGAGTTTCGTAATTCTTTGTTACGATAAACATTAATCACTGTATTGGCTGATTAGGAAAAAAGCACGATAAGAGATACGAGATTTAGTCATAATACTCTTTAAGAACTTCTTTATACTGTAAATGCGTTCTGATCTCATCGGTATGACTAATCAGAAATGCGATTATGCCAGTTCCGGATAATTCTGGCATCGAGGTTATTAATTGAAATCCAATTTATTCGAAAGATCAAACTACTCGAGCATTTATCGAAATGCGTGTAATCTACTTTCAAACGATTTAGAAAGCTGACAATGCGGTAATGACTGGCATAGCGCAGCGCTTTAACATTTCCCCTGATCTCCTTTGAATTCCATGTATTGTGCAATGTTCGATCCGGTAGCAAAAAATTCGCAATATAAGCCAAAGTTGAGCAAATTAATTACTACTGTTTTTTAATTTAACGTTTGTGATGTTAAATAAAAATAATAAATAATATAAATAAAAATAAAATGTTCAATTTAGATTCTGATTTGCATTAAACTTCAAATATAATTATGTGTATTCTATTTCTAAATTTTGCACGTTATCAAGATTTTATAACATTCGCATAAATGTTGTGTCAGGTTTGCGTTAGTATAAAATTCTACTATACTCTGGGTCAGTGATTCTGTATCAGCAGTTTATCATTCTTTCTCTAAGATACACCGGACGCTAGTATGTTAACCGAAGATAACTGGCTCATTGAAACGTGTTTATAAATTACTGGAACAAGCCCCGGAGATACTAAAGCGAGTTTCGTACGTTGTCACTGATTGGTCCGACCGATGCGATAGCTATTCACTGGGCTATTCATTCGTTTCGAACGCGCTTCCGTTCACCACAATCACCGCGTGTAGGAAATTGTTTGGTAATCGAAAACCAGAGATAAATTGTCAAATTGGCCTGGAAAAGTGGGAAATAGGTCTGACACGTCTTCCACGCATGACTTGGCCGCGCATAGGAAACAAGAAATAAAAGGCGGTCAGTTAGTCAATCGAACACGTAATCAATCTAAAAAAAAATATATTGAAGCATCCAATAAATAAAACGAGTCATTCCTTACTCGATCAATCTAATGATTTCCTAATCTGCATCAGTTTTCGGTTCCGTTAAAACATGTAATTGTGTCGCTCCCGCAATGAGATGGAAATTCGTAATCGATTGCATTAATTTAATCGATTCCTCTACTTATAAAGGTTAATTTGAATTTTGATAGTATAATCGGGTCGTTTACATTCCACGCGGCGGTGAGTATAACCGACGTCGCGGGGAAAAATCGTTTACGACCGGTGATCACGATTATTGAACCGCGATTGTCCTGCGCACGTTCGATCGAGACGAAAGCTTTCGAGTGAAAGTGGCGTAAATTATTTGTAACGCAATTGAACATCATGATCGTGAAACGAATAAATGAAATATTAAAATAAAAATCAATAAAAAATGTTTATTATAATAAAAAATATTGGTATGAGCAGATAATTGATAAAGTGTATGAAAATGCAAATTATAATTAGATTAATAATTCATTAAAAAATTGTATATGTACTTGTTTTATGTATGTTTAACAATTCATGAACTGTACTATTTTTTTTACTATGTTCGAAGCTCGTGACACGCAAAGTAGAGAGAGGGTATGGCTTAAGTGGCGCGTGGAGTGAAAGTCCGAATATAACGAGTGCACGGGCCTTGCCAATACCTGTTTCACGTGTCGCATAATTAATGCCGTTCCACAAATAGCAGCGAGTGCGACATTGTCCTACGCTGATCTTTCCTCTCACATTTTTCATTTTATCTCGCGTGTACACGCACACGAGGCACGGGAAACCGCGCAGCTGGTAGGAACGTGATCGATCTTCATAACCGTTGTTCCGGCGAGCCGTGTTAAAATGTATATTGATAAGCGAACTCTCTCCGTTCGGTCTTTCAGTAAACGGATGAGGAACGACTCGATGGACCGTAAATTTGTCACGGGGAATCGATTTGACGCGCATCGAACGATAGCTGTATTCCAAACCGTTTCTAATTCTCTACAACGAACGCTGTGATGTAACATAGGCAATTTTCTTACGCAGGCTTTCGCTTATAAGCAGTTCCGAGATTTTAAGGCGCGAGTTCGAATCTGGTAACAAATATCTAAGGAATTTCAATCGCTTTACTAAATCGAGTTTTTTACACGGTAAATTCCTGGTTAACCAGATAAGGTGCGCGTTCCACGATTTCGCGCATTACCGTTTAAATGATCGCGTTCCCAACGATGCGGACCAGTTTCGTATCTGGAACTTCAATCGAGCCCGCGTCACGGTAGAACGAACCCATACGCTCGTTCATAAATCTCGCTGCACTTCCAATTCGAAAATTTTTATAGACAGCCAAACGCCCCGATCAAAATTCTAGATCGAGTCACGAAAAACCTTCCACCGAAACCACTTAATAACCGGCGCTTAATAATTTCAACAAGCAATAATTATCATTCTTAACATTTCTGAATTTTTTTGTGCTCGGAATTTATGGCAAGTCTAACAAGATTTCTCGGACATTTTTTTGTCCAGGTTGAATAAAATAAAAATACGAATTGCAAACCATGTTTATGTAATGAACTGTTCTATCATGTTTAACATGTCTTTCAAGCTCAATTAAGTTTGTGGTTAGACATGTTATTATATAAAATTACATTTAGTGACGTATTTTATAACTGACTGACTTATGAACAGTGGGAGACACACGCGTGTCACGGCGCCTCTGGGTCTGTCTTATTGCACGCTTTCGGTTCTTATGCTCTGATAGTAATCCAAGCGACGGATGTCGGAACAGCCTCCAGCCGACAAGCGGGAAGGCCGTCCGGCAGTATCGCTGGAATTATTATTATGAATTTCGTGAACCGGTCGCTGTCCGCGTTTGCCAACGGTGTTACGTAATCCTAACTGGTCGAGAAAGTCCGAAAGCGGCGCAGTCTTTTCACATTTTAATAGAATCTCCAAATTAATGTCACTGTTTAAATTAATTTAAATGACCAGCGTCTGGATAAAAGAACTGTTGATTATATAATATTTGAAAGGAAGGAACTATGTGGATGAGAGCACAGACTTAATTCTTATTCTCGTTCGAATTAATTAAAATACTTAAGTGTTAAAAGAGCTCTTGATTTAATGGTTGCATTGTAACATTCCTGAAACTGTTACACTTAACTGTTTCTTACTACGATTGATTTATGTACTAGAAAAAAATGTTATGCTGACGTAACGGGTTAATGGCGATTCATCAAGTTACGTGTTACTAACGCGTGACTCCAGGAGTGCAATAATTTTCCCGTTGACCTGTTTCAGGTACGGAATTCAATCATTAAATTAATTGAACCGTAGATTGCAGCAAGTATGCATTTGGCATGTAGCACAATCTCAGTGTCTGTCAATATGAAAAAATAAATTTGTTACACTGAATAATGAAATTTATAGGGAAACTTATAATTACGTGGAGCTGTCTGATTGCCAGGATCGTTTCGTTGAATTAAAATTCTTGCTTGATTGCAATGAGGGAATTGAATGCGTACGGGAAAACGAAAGGAGAGGATTATTGAAAAACTAGACTTCATAAAACGCATCGTCATTCTATCTGCTTAGCTCTGCTGTTCCTTTCGACCTGTTCTCTGCAATTATTTACCCAGACGTGAAATTACTCGTTAAACTATAGACAGTATACTTAACTCGTCGATTTTTATAGTAGGTAATACATCTTCCAGTAAACTAGAGAGTTTTTATACAATAGATATTTTGTATTCTAAAAGAGGTTGTCCTTGTCTTTGGACAAGTATGCGATAGGACTGAGTTCAAGAAACGATGGCACACGTGCCTTTAAAATACGCAACGTGGTTCTGTTTGAAGAATACTCATTCAGCGTAGAGGTATTATATTTCATGCTGATCTAAAGTGCAAAGTATCACTGCGTTCTTAGACATCAATCATTGATTATTATTAACGTGGCACACAATGAAAGCGTACCTTTCCTGAACGTCAA